AGCTATTTTTCTTCAAAGACATTTGGAATGAATGAGTAAATTCTGATAAATTTCTCTTACAGTGCATGTTTGTTTTGAAGCAGATTCTTAATAAGCCTGTGGGATAAAGTTCTGTTGCATTCTTAATAGAGTATATAAATTCTAAAAAGTGAAAATTAATATGATGCGATAAGCAAAACTTTGTATTTTGCGATGGTCTGTTCACAGGATAAACGTCTTGTGCCTGGAGGTGGTGCAACAGAGATTGAATTAGCCAAGCAGATCACGTCTTACGGAGAGGTACAGCAAATGAGCTTTTTGACTTTCTAGTTTTATATATACACATACTATATATGTACTTAAATACATAGGTGATTTACAAAAATATATACATATTATTTTATTAAAAATGTGTATTAAGAGATATAAATCAGTAAAAAATGGGGAAAAATACCTCCGTATCATACAGCTTTTGAAATGCTGACGTGGTTTTCAATTTCACTTCAGACTTGTCCTGGGCTCGACCAGTATGCAATCAAGAAGTTTGCTGAGGCATTTGAAGCCATTCCTCGAGCACTGGCAGAAAACTCTGGAGTAAAGGCTAATGAGGTCATCTCCAAACTTTATGCTGTGCATCAGGAAGGGAACAAAAATGTTGGATTTGACATTGAGGTAAATTTATAGTCTCTCACGTTACTTGGTGCTGTGCAGTACAGGGTTATATTTAAACGGACTTCTATCACTATGAAGTACAATTTAATTTAAACCACTGAAGCTCTAAGTTGCACAGTCTAGAAGAATAACTCAGGAACTTAATAGTGAAGTGTTTTTGTTTTATCAGCAAGCAGTTAAATTCAATGTAATACAGCGACATTGTGACACAGGCAAAGCGAGGTGCTGAACTAATGTCATGAAGAATAAGTCCTTACTTGTTTTCCTGCTAGTGGATTAGGAATGAAGGTTTCCTGAAAGGAGATGAGATCAGAAAAGTGATAATTTGTTCTAAATCTGTAACCTTGAAAACCCGATAACTTGCTGGGTAGATGCCTAAGAAAGTTTTGAATAATGCTTTTCCCCCCTGTCTGATAGGCTGAAGCTGCTGCTGTGAAGGATATGTTGGAAGCCGGTGTATTAGACACATACCTTGGAAAATCCTGGGGTATCAAGCTAGCTACAAATGCAGCAGTAACTGTCCTCAGGGTAGATCAGGTAAGCTTACAAGTAGTTTGGGTGCTGAACTGTAACCTTTAACTCAGTGTGCAGAACACTACTGCAAAATACGTGAATCTTCTGGGAATGCAAGGCATAAAAATATGATACATGGAAAAAGTGCTTTGTTTATTTCTGAAAGCCAGGAAGTAGGTAGTTCAAGAGCTGCTTATATGGAATGTTGCTGCTTCCACAGGGGCGCTATTAGTGAATTGGTTTTTTTAAGATTTGACAGTTGATACTCGTATCCAGAAAGCTACCCTAACTTTTATAGGAACAATATTTAACACAAGAAACCTCTCATACATTGTTTTTACATGAAAATCCAACTTCTAGGAAAAACAGCGATTATAATCTTAATGACAAAAATCTTTATATATGTTGTGGAACTTTAGCGAAAATGTATTTGCATGTAAAATTTCTGTAGATTATTATGGCAAAACCAGCAGGTGGTCCAAAAGTCCCTAAGCAACAAGGACATTGGGATAAGGATGACTGGAAAGATGAGCCTGAAAAATAGTATGCAGTAAGCTCTGTTTCTCTAACAGAGGTATCTGTGTGTGAGAGCATGCATGGGTATATTGACAAGCACATGGCAGATACCTTTCCTTAGGGGACGTAACACTGCTGTCTTATGTGTGCCGATTGCTGCATCTAGTGTTTGTGCCTTTGGGAACTAATTTTACTCCTGAGATTGTACTTTCATTGAAGGGATGACAAGTGCAGTTTTAGCTTTACCTTACTTGTCACTGGAGCAAGTGCAGAAAATGAGCCTTTAACTTGGACCAGTGTATATTATGCTTTTGAAGTGTGATGTTTAGGCTCAATAGTTCAGAGCAATAGCTTTGATAATTCTTCTGCTTTCTGTAGTGTGCATCCTGTAAACCAGTCACTCTTTAGCCTGTTTAAGCACTCACTTTCTGTAGACTAACTGAAGTCTCAATTTGCATGCAAAAATGAGGTAAAAGCCCTTTGTTTGTGTATCGGGGCTTATCTGCTGCCATTCTCAAGAAAAAAATAGCTTTCTTTGAGTATTTCAATTAGATGGATAATAATACTCACTGGTTTAGGTCCAGAGCAGGGAAACTGCATGAATTTAGTGAATGTTGACAGTAAGCATCATATGGCTGTAAGAAGGAGTGGGGTAAGAGTCTGATGGTAACCTTGTGTCATCTTCTGCTTCCCTGTTATCTTGAAGATCATTATGGCAAAACCAGCTGGTGGCCCTAAACCTCCATCAGGGAAGAAAGACTGGGATGAAGACCAAAATGATTGAATGATTTAACTGTACTTCTGAAGTGACATGATTTATATGAGTTTTTTAATATTCCAGTTGGAGCCTGTCATGATGTTTTGCTCTGTTGCCTTTAAGTTATAAACTGTGTCCAACGGAGTGCAGAACTTCAAACACTTCAATAAATGTAGTCACGGTTAAAATGTTAACTGTCGTTTTATTTGGACTTGGTGTAACATGGTTGTTCCCAATAGGTGAACATGCAGACATGGGTGTGGGGGGCTGACCTTGGCTGGCTGCCCAATGCCCCTTCCTCACCAGGACAGAGGCAGGGCATAAGCTGAAAAAGCTCCTGGGTTGAGGTAAAGACAGGGCAGTCACCAATTACTGTTAGAGGCAGAACAAACTTAACATATGAAAAATAAATTTAAAAATAGGGTTGGAGAGTGACAAGCAAGAACAAAACCCAAAACATCTTCCTATTCACCTCCCCTTCTTTCTAGGCTCAGCTGTATTCCTTCATATCTGATTCCTCTTGCCTCCTCAGTGGTGCAGGGGATGGGGAATGGGGGTTATGGTCAGTCCATAACAACTCCACTCTCCAGCTGCTTCCTGTGCATACAGGGCACAGTCCTTTGTGAGCTGCATTAGCACAGGGCTCCTCTGTATAGGTTATAGTCCAGCATGAGCAACTGCTCCTGTGTGGTCTTCCATGGGCTGTGGTTTCTGGCAGGAAAACCTGCCCCAGGCTGGGCTTCTCACCACAGACTGTAGCTTCCTTCAAGACACAGCTACCTGCTTTGGCCTGGGGCTCTTCACAGCTGCAGTGTGGAAGTCCAGCATGGTCCTTGCCCCAAGCTTCACAGGGACCAGCTGCTCCAGTGTGGTCTTTCCACAGGCTGCGGGGGATCCCTGCTTGAGTGCCTGGAGCTCCTCCTCTCACCTGAGTGCTGGTAGGGCTGTTTCTCACACTTTTCTCCTCACTGCAGGGTCTTGTTTTGCCCTTCCTCACACAGGTTTACTCTGAGGTGCCACCATTGTGACTGAGGGGCTCTGCTGTGCCTGCAGCGTGTCTCTGGTAGCCAGCTGTGTCCAGTATTAGACATGCCCAGACTCAGAGGTCACAGCTGCAGCCTACCCCACCAGCTTGACACCTGTACCTTGTACAGTGGGTAAGGGAGACTGACTGCTCATGAGGCTGCTGTGGGGAGCATGTAGCTTCAGGAAAGCATCATCTACAATTTTTGCAGCCCTTTGTGCTCTTAATTGTGCTCCTTCTCCAATTTTTAAGTGTAAAAAGTCAAACAAGTATTGAAATCATTAAGTATGGCAGCAGATCTGTGGTCCATGCCTACATTCATTTCTGCTACATGCATCTGTTTCTTCCTCGCCCTTCAAGAATCTCCACTCTCTCAAAATGGGAGCTGACAGCAGTGAACTTCATCTCATTCTAATGGCCTTAAAAATAAATGCTGAGTGGCAAGCGCGAGTATGATGCAGGGTGCTGGAATCTTTCAGCTGAAGCCCACTGTCAAGATTCTTCTTGGAAAGTAAGCAGCTTGTGTGTCTCAGAGTAGCTTGAAAGGAGAACTGTGCTTGAAATTCAAGCCACTTCAATAATTAATCCTTTTATTACTTTTGCCAGTGCTGCTCTAGTTCCCAGCCAGAAGGGAGTGGAAGGCTAAATCAAGTCTGGAACTATCTTATGCCTAAATAAGGCTGCCATACTAATGCTCACTTTATAGTCCATTGCTGGTATGGCTGAAAAATAAACTTGGCAAGTTTTTGGAAGGATTGGCATACTGCTATCATCAGCTGCACAAGTGCTGCTGCTGCTGACTGTAAGGGTAACACGAACACACAGGACTGCCCATTTTCTTAGTAAGGTTCTAATGAAAAAATGCACTGAATGTAAGCAGCTGCTGCTCTAGCATAGAGGAGCCAAGATTTTATTTATGTAAAACCCAACATGAAGCCTAGCCTACAGAGAACTTTAACAAGTCACTGCAGGATCAGTTTTTTTTTACCCCTCCAGTGCAGAAAGGGGGTCTTGCCAACATACCAGCATAAGGTTCCCATGCAAAAGAATTCCTCAAGTTTGCAAACTAAGGGCTTCTCTATTGGACATAAACCAAAGGTGGAAAGAGCTGATGTTGAATTTGTCTCAGCTCTAACATGAGTAGGAAGAAACAGCTTCTTAGGCTTGGAACCCAGTTCTAAAATGCACATGGAACAGATGATAGCCAAGATAACTATAGTTCAAAATTACACCTGGTCCCTTTAAAGTGAAAGTACTGCTAAGATGCATAATAGAACTTGCAGGAAACAAAGTTGCAGTTATTTGCCTGTGCCAACACTCAGTAGAAACTCAAAGCTGCAATTTTTAAAAAACTTTTATTTATGAAAACATTGGAAAAAGTATAAGTTAAACACGTGTCAGTATGTCTAAGAAGCATAAAGTATATTCCTGCAGTTGGATACAGTAGCTCCAGCATGTTAACAGTATGACTTGCAAGTCTCTGCCTTCTTTCAGACCACTTGAAGAGGGCTGCATGTACAAGAAAGCTTCTCAGATGAGTTACAGCAGTCGCTCATAGAACAGGAGATAGGCTTGCGAGCTTAGCACTTTTGATGCAGACACGGCTTGCACATGGGAATCACTGATGTGGAACCACTGTCCTTTTACTGGTTCAGTTTCTAAAGCTGCACAGGGAAGAATTAAGGAGTAAGTTATTACAAAGAATTGAAGCAATCAATCCTGTTACTGTTCTGCAGTAAGAAACAAATTTGTAAAATATTTCTAATTATTTACCTTGAGGAGACTGTCCTCGAAGGACAAGATCAGAGAGATGGTTGTTCATACTTCTCATTTTAGCGTAAGCAATGTAGTGCCCAGACTTCATTGTTCCACTATGTTCAACAACTCCATAGAGAGAGTACAGCAGTTTGGTATTCCCTTCAGCCACATTCTATTAAAAGCAAAAGTTTGCATATGTCAGTCAGGTACTGGGTTTTAAACAGGGTTAGAATGTAAACTCTTCACTTTTTGCTTTGATTTGTTTGCTGATGAAAGGGAAGCTGGTCATGGAAGACTGATGGAAGCACTACAGGTATGATCAGGGGAAGCAGACTGACTCAAGTACCAGTTGCACTTCCAAGTTATCCTGTATTACCACACAAAATACCAAGTTTGACAAGCGTTCTACAAAGATTCTGCTAAGCAGCTTGACTGTGAAAGCACATTAGAACACAGCAAAGGAGAATCTGATTGTTTTCCCACTTACTTTACATCTAGCTGTACAGAAAGGAGCCAAGTCTATAACTTCTGGAAATTTGATATGCCTGTTAACCTTCCGTAGATTAAATCCAGCCTTGAACAGACAAAGTAGAAGAAAACCCCATAATGTTAAAATGTAGCATATGTTAAAACCATACTTAGTTTTACATTAAAGAAAACTGGGAAAAATCAACTTTTTTTTTTCCTCCAATGCCTAAGGTTTTCCAGCATTACCTCCTTGCCCCTACATGCTGCACTGGAGCACAAGTTAAGATGGCTCCTCAACTCACTTTTTCAGCCATTTAATGGTAGCAAAAGTGGAAAAAGACTCAGCTCTAATGTACTGCTGTAACTATGAGGACATCTCTTGCTCCGCAGATACTGTAGTGTGCCTGAGGATCTAACATTGTATCGTCAAAACTGATGTAAATTCTACTCCCACCTTACTCAAATAATCTTCCAGTATCAAATTGGAAAAAAAAAAAAAGAAGACACATTATTTCCTTAATTATGTTACAGTCTCTTGGAATTGGCTACATTTTCTCTGTGAAATTGTTTCATCTAAAGTCACCTCCTTTAATCTTCAAGTATTTCAACCAAAATACTTAACAGCTTTAAATTTAGAAGAGTCAATACTGTTTTTCATAACCGTTCCGTTCCTCTTTCTTTCTTAAAAAGCTAAAGCCTTAAGTTAAAAATTCTCCTACAACTTGGAAAAATGGTAAGGCACTTCACTTCAGTGTCTGTAAGCAAGACTTAAGTTGCAATGCTTTCCATTCATCCTTTTTTTTCCCCCCTCCTCAATAAGGCTTAGACTCCTCTCTTTTCCAATTCTACTGACCTGTTTGTTAAATTCATTTAGTAAGGGATTGCATTTTATCTGTACTGAAATGTAAGAGTCAATGAACTGTAGCAGCAGGAAATAATTAATGCTAAGATACTGCTTAATACAGTAAGGAATAACAATAGTGAAGGAATATATTGCAAATAAAATCACAAACCAGTCTTTTCCAGATAACTAATGGAATATTCTTTCAGGAAAACACACCCCAACTCCTCAAAGCCCACAAAAACTACCACTGTGCACCAAAGCCTTCCAAACCTTGGCGGGGGGAAGCCAAAAAAAGCCAAACCAAAACAGGCTTGTGTGAAATTAAAATATGCTAATGTTATTTCTAAGTCAAGCTAGTACTATGTGCTTATATGCATATTAAACTGATACTATAGACAAATGCATTTTTGCAACATCAGCTTGCTACTTACCTGCTGAAACCTCTTTAAGTGAAGAGTTAAAATTGGAGGAGCAAGAGAGATTAGCATCTGTTTTATGGCGTTAGTATAAATGTACTTCTTTTCACCTGCAGAAAAGAAAAACCACCAATGATAAACTTTACAGTAAGAATTTGTTTATTTTCACTATTTAGACTGTTATAATGTCATCTACAACAGCAGATGAGAAACTGAACATTCCCCTTTTCAACATCATGTTAAATGATGAACTGTACAACAGCTGCAACCTTGCAGATCCCTTATCTCAAAAGTAACGGCTCGCACCATGTCTGAGCAGCGTCAGCACAAGCAGCATGAATTCTTGCTTGCTCTCCACAACACTCATAATCAGAAAGTGCATGTGGCTTTTATTGGCCTTTTCAGCAAACACCAACATGATTTCCCTATGACCATCACAGCAGAATTTTCACATTTGAGGAAAGACGAGAAAAGTCACTTGCGAAACAGCTACTCCCTACATTCAACCACATAATGAATTTTTATATTAAAATGCCCTTTCTCTCCCCTCAGACCCACTCCTCTTTGCTCACTCTTCCTTTTCCAGACCTGCATCATTCTGTACCCAGTCTTGTGAGCCTACTATTCTGCTCAATTAAGAACTTGGATTAATCTGTGTGAAAGAGGTTCTCACAACCTAGCCACTGAGGTTGAACTAGTAAAGTTGTACCAATAACACTTTAGGGACATTCTCCCCATTACCCACCCAAGCAGCAGATAGGGACATATTTAAAGTTTTCTTTTAAAAGGTAAGTTGTCATACTTTTTGTGGTGTTCTTTGGTCCATAGTGTCTTTGTGTACATACATCACAGAGTAGTTTATTGGTCTCAGTAAGCTTTTCATTACGGGTAAACTGATACAAACAGTGATAGATGGAACCTTCTTCTGGGTTCAGATCTTCCCTGTTTGCAAGAGTACAAAATGCTGTTTCTGGATCTTCAGTCGATACTTCACACGTCTTGATGGGAAGAGTTTGAAGGTCATCTAAGGTACTCGGATCAGATTCAGCATTGGCACCCAAGTGTAGTTTTGATAAGTCAGTAGTGAGCTCTTCCTCATCTTCATTTTCATCATCCTCATCTTTCAAAGACAGGCTGTCAAGGCCATTGACAAAATTCATAGAAGAATCTAAGCCTTCCATAGGGAGATCCACAGGAGACTCATTTTCTACACACTCTCGTTCTGGCTTTCCTGTATCTTCATGCATGCTCTGAACTTCTGTATGATTTTCTGGTATATTAAAGTCTTTTTCAGTTAAGCAGTGATCTTTGCAATCCTTTGACATTTCCTCTTCTTGCTTCATATCAGAAGTTTCAGAGTTAATTTCTGCCTCTGATTCTTGGTTATACTCGACATCTTTTTCTGACTGTTCAGTTGCACAGATATCTGTCAAGTGAATCACCTTTCCTTGAAGTTTTTGCTGGCGGCGCTGGCTCTGCAAATTGGAATACATAATATACAAGAATACAAAAATCAGAGCAAGTTTAAATTAAATATTTAGTATTTCTTACTATTTGTTTATCAAAATTTTTGTAACATGCCATAGATTGAAAGGGTGGTAGGGGGAGAATAATCTATGACTTAGTGATCAGAGGTGATCAACTCAACCAATACTGAATTTATCCTCACTCAGATATAGTTCCCGCTGCTCCTTGTTACACAGCATCTTCAAAATAGAACTAGTGATTCCCTTCATATCTTTCCAATCCTTTCTTTTGTCTGTACTCTATAAATATAGTTTCGTGAATATTCTTGTAATTGATGACTGGAGAACAGCTGTCTGATACAAATCAATGCTACTTCAGACAAGGCGACATAAATTCCGCATTCCTTTGGATATTAGTTTATTCCTAGCACAGCAACTCTTAACAAAACATTAACTCCTTAATAGCAAACACATAGATACAGTTGGTCTTTTCAGTTGTGCATTTGAATGGGGAGAAATTCTAAGCTGTCTCCTCCTTCACCTAAACCGAGGAGGCAAAACCAATTTGTTTTACCAGAATTTGCAAGTACTTCATTAATATAAGTGAAATACTTATCAAAACCAACCTTGGCTTGTTTTTTGGCCTGTTTCTTTGCTTTTTTCTGAAGGTGCTTACTTGAACCAGGAGGCTCATCTCTCTGCTTAAGATAACAGTCATTGTTTTTATCGTCTTCATCTTCAGATTCCTTTTCTTTGTTTTTTTTAACATTTCTCTCACTTGCAATTTTTACTTTCTACAAAAAAAACCCAAAAAGCCACAAAACAACCACAGAAGTAGAGATGTTACTGTCCTGAATAACAAAACAGTATTCCCAAGAAAACCGTAGAGATGCTGAGTTTTCAGTTCAAGATGTAACATTTTAGTGACTACAACATACAACTAACTCATTTATGCCACCCTAATGTTTACAAAAGGTGTCTCACTCCAGAGGGAGTCCCTGTGAAACAGTGACTTGTAGAATGAAACACTATGAAAAAGTAAGGCTCTCAAAGGCCAAATTCTGAACCTGTAAACAGGCAACATTACCTTTGGCTCTAACAGATGTACATCTCATTAAATGCACTGAAAAGTAACACTTTGCACAGGCAGAGATTTTTCAGTTCAACTGCCTGCCACAGAATTTGTTTGCTTCTGCTAAAATGAAATTTGTTGCAGATGTATGATCCCCTTGGCTTAGGGGACTTCATTTCAATATTTACACATTAGCTTTTGTATGAGCAGTAATACACTACAAATCTGAAATATTACATATATAGATGATCAATACGAAACACAAAGCAAATGAAGTATTTTGAGTGTCTAGAGATTGATCAAAGAAGTACTCACATACTATACTACCAGTGTTTCTTAACGTTATTTACAATAGCAAAGATGAATTGGGAAACACTGTTCTTTGCAATTCAGTCTTCTTTAATAGCATGACAACACTGGAACATACTAGATTGCCTAAGCCAATCTCTACATGAGAAACATGAACTGGCAATGCAGCAAGATCACCAACAGACTATCTGTGATTTTCCAGAGAATTTGTGAGCCACAACTTACAGGAATGACTCTCCTGAAAATCCTAATTCATTATCTTTCTCGGCAGATTTATAATTTTAACTTTCAAAAGAGACATTTAGAAAGATGTATAAACTAATTCCCTAATGACTATATAATAAAGGTGTTTTCATATAAGCAATCAACAACTAAGCCAAAAAGCAAGCACATACAATTTCTTACCTGATCATCTAGTACGGGAAGTGACAAATCAAGGAAAGACTCATGGACCAAGGACACCTTTAAATGAACATTCAAGGGATCAATTTAATTTTGTTTGGAAGTAGCTGGCTTTCCGTCAGTAGGCTTACTTGTATGTAGCCTTGTTTGCAGTTTCAGTGTATACTTTCACTTGTGCATACAAACATGAAACACAGCTAACCCATCTCCAGAAACAGCTATCCATGACCAAAATCTTGCAATCACACTGCCACAGAAATAAGCAAGAAATACTTTTACAAATTTCAGTTTTCTAGTGGCCTAGAATCTGAGAACACAACTTAGGGCCCATGAGACTGATACATGTGATCTGTCATAACATTTGTCTAGTCCACTCACCTTAATTATTACCTTAATACCCTTAATTACTTTGTTCTCAGGATGCATTATGCCAATAGTGCCTTAACTATTCTCCTGGCAATCCAACAGTCATTCCAGTATGGGAAAGGGAAAGACCCAATCATCTGATGAAGAAGGAAAGGGCCCCTGGCAGCATACTGCTGGTGGCAGAACATTCATTCACACTACAATTTGTACCACTGAAAGGTGTTCACTAGGAATCAGAGAATGAATTCTTCTGTCAGAGGCAGCTTATTGCTGCTGACCTCTTTTTCTACAAGGCTTCTGAAAGGAAGCAAAAGATTGGTTTTATAACATAAGGGAAGAAAGATTCCAGAAACACTATGCCCCTCTTGAAAAGCATGCAGCTAGTCAACCCTTAGAAGTGTTATTAACTGAAGCAAACTTCTCCCATTTCACTTATTTCTACATATAGTTACTTTGGGGTCTCCTGCAGGTTACATAAAATTATATTCTAGGCTATTCAAAGCAGGCAGTTTACTTACGGTTCTGCATTCCTCACACATAATCGTACTGGTTAATTCTCCACCAAAGATTCGATCTACAAAACTTTGTATTCCCTTTTTCTTTTCATATTCTGAGAATTGACAAAGTATACAGTGAGTTAATAATATTACATATAATTTACTGGCAACCAATTTAGTTATGTCATACCAAATTAAAATATATATATATAGCATGCAAGATGTATGATGGAACATGCTGGCCTGTTCTAGTTTCCTCAGGAAGTACAGTAATATTCTTTAATTAAGATTCTTTCATATATCAAAGGAATGGAGGTGAAAAGACATTTGCAGAAGACAGCTTGACTGAACCAACACCTTTACCACTTTCTCAACTCAAATTTCCCTGTTTTCTCAGAAGTACCACATCCTAGTAAGAGTTCCTGTTTTCTCTTGGGACTTAACTCAAACAACTGCCTGAGCCTAAAAAACAAGTATGGGTCCCCCACAAACAAAAACGATTTCCTCAAACTATATTTTCAGTGCAGCTCAGTCTGGATTTAAACATACTCTTCAACTTCTAACTTAAGTCATGTTGAAAAATTTGGAAGTTCTTCTGCTTACTCTTCAGGTTTTTTTGTACCACTGTTAAGTAACAGTGGACTATTAGGACTGAATAAATCACCACATTCATGTGCTAATATTTTAATTTCTTACATAATATTTGAATGATTGAACATTACCCAAACATATTATAATGTATAATGTCCATAGAATCAACTCTCTGTTACACTGTTAAAAAGGAAACGCCACTAAGTTCAGTAAGATATTAAAATAGACTAAAACTCTTGAGCCTCATATTCTAGATACACACATATTCAAGAGATGGCTTAAAGTTGTACAATTAAGCATGTATATTTTAGTTGATACTACTGGGTTTACTTTGTGTACTTGAATGAAACAAAACATTTTAAATTATCACAACATCAGTAACATATGTTTTACCTTTAATTTTCTTTTTAAGTTCTTCTTCATTTTGTTTGTTACAGTCAGTCAGCGCCTTCAGTATTCCAACACTTATTTGCTGAAATTTTCAAAACAAATACACATTGTAAAATTTCCTAAACTAATTTGGTTAAATAGGTCATTTTACAAAATGTTTCAGATGGAGGAAGAAGTTTAATCTTTACCAGTTAGGCAAATCAATACAAGCAAGACAAATGCCTGTAGAGGCCACAATATAGTTCCCACAGATAACAAAAAAAAAAACCAATCAACCAACCAACCAAGAAACAAGCTTGCAACTATAATGTTGCAATTAGTATGTAAGAAAATCAGTCTAAGGCCTTTCCCCAAATCAAAACAGGCAAAAACCCCCCAAAACCAACAAAAACAAGCAAAACAAGAAGTTTCCATAAGTGAACTTTCGGGCATTTCAGAAATTAAGATAAAAGGACACTCTTTAGCATGATTACACATAGTCCAAATGACTCCTGTAGAAGTTTTGGACAAGTCATCTATTTCTTAAGGACAACAGATGTTTTTTATAGAATTGTTGAATTAACCAAAGACCTTTAGAGCAAGCAAAATTGAACCTTTCTACTTGATTGTATTAAAAGAACATGGAGAATAATCAGTACAGTGCTTTCCAAAAAGGCAGAAAAATCATTAGCTTAGAAACCTAAACAATGTGTGCCGTATATGTAAAAGAGATAGGCCACAACATTCTCTCTTTGAGTAGTTTTGTTAAAAACAGTAATACCCATGGTTGGTCCTTCACAACCACACTGCTTGGAGGCTGCCCGGTTCTACAGCTCTGTTGCTAATTTGCTTCAAGTGCGTGCTATGGGCAGCACAAACCACTCTATGGAGGTTGCCTTATCTCAGAAAAATACCATTCTTTCTCCCTTAAGCAGAGGATAGAAAGTCTTGGTCCGGGGTATGAAGAAGAAAGGTAAGCACAACTATGAAATCAGCACTCACTTGGATTTCTTCTGCTCTCATTCCATCAAGTAAGTAACGGAGCAATTCATGACTGTCTTGCTGCTGATAACCTTTAAATCGTATTGCTCTGTTAAATGAAACAATAATTGTAAAGTATAACTGAATAGACAAAGTAAAAAAATCATACCAGACACTAAAGGACAAAGTCTCAAGCCTATATGTATATAAACGCAACAAGTGTCTACATGTGAGCAACAAGTGTCTACATGTGGTGTTTCCTAAAAATATGAAGGTAGCTAATCAGTGTGTCACTGAGTATCTTTAATTTTACTTCTGTTCATTTGTATTTTGATCTTTATTCTCTTCTTTCAAAATTTGTTACATAGTATACAAATTTTATATGCTGTGATGTGAGAAAAGGGAGAAAACTGACCTGCTTAAACAACTAATACTTTTTTTCCATACTCACTGTGACATGCAATTGTACAGATACTCACTTTTTACAAACCTGAGCAAAAAGTTCCTTAGGAGTGACTACCCCTCTTTTTGTCTCTTGCATTTCTGTCAGGAACTGATACATGGCTAATGTCAAAGGACCTGGCTGATCTAGTTTTATCAGCTGAGGTTCCTGTTTAAACAAAAGCAACAAAGTTGTTTTGCCTTAATTTGATGACAGATCCTTCTGGAGTAAGTTTACCTTTATGTGAATACTTCAGTTCTTGAAAACATTATTATAAAATAGAATACACAAAATTCCAAAATAGCAGTAAGTTAACCTAACACAAACAATCATCACATGCTTTGTCATCACATGATACCAAAACACTGGGCTAAGAATCATTAATTATTTATTGCTTAGCTGAAATGTGGATTTCTTGCTTTTATTAGGAATAAAATACAATTTCTTAAAATGCACAACCATTCTTTCCTATAAAAACCCCTAACTGTAATGACAGGTGCATTATTGAAGTTAGTGCTGCAGACATCCTCTAGTTTCCTATTTCGTATTTAGACAAGTGACACTATAGCAAAAGTAACATTTTCATCCTTTAAATAACTTAATCATAATATTAGTACTCCTCTGATGACAATTAAGTATTGAGTTGCTGCTTTTTCACTTTGAACGAGACCTCCATTGACTTCAGAAGCAGCTTTGTGGATACCAAGAGTGAGGTTCCCACTGATTTTACATCTTAATCTTAATAGTATTTAGCTGAAACAGCTTTATAATCCAGGGATGAGTATTGCTTGTTTCTTTAACAGATTGGAAGGGTGGGGAGAAACACGACAGAGGTCAGAGCAAATGTATTATATACCATGCATAACTCAGGTGACTCGATCTTAACTGTTGTGCCAGGCATTTTAGCTTCTTTAAGCAGCTCCCTCAGGACTGGAGTTTGTGATAAATTCTGTAGAACATAAAAGAAAGGAAAAAGACTGGTAAGGGGAACAAGAGGACGGGCAGCTGAGTTCCACTGGTCATGAAATTTGTAGCAACCAGATTAGCAGCAATGTATTTTTCCCAAAAACAGAACTGGAGTGGGCACTACCACTACACTCTGCAGTGTTTAACAGGTAAAGGTACAGTCCATACAGCTAACAGGACTTTCAAGTGTCGTGTGTCCCCCCCCTCCCTCCCCCATATAT